CAATTGATGGGTGTTGAAACAAGGACCACAAAACAGACCAATGCAAGAAATAGAGACATATGGAATGAAATAGATGGTAATAACTTGAGTATAGAATTGACTATTGCATAGGAAGCAGAGAGGTGGACAGAGCTTTCCTTGACCAGTGAGAATTCTGTATTGGAGATTTGACAGATTCTTCCAGGTTTAATCCTGTTTATGGCTCCAGTAGGATTTTAGACATGATTTCACTGGAGGCAGCCAACTAAAACCTCATTGCTGGGGTCAGTATTTAAGGAGAGATAAGGGGACAGGAGGACCAATTGGTAACTATGAGATGAGGGCCTCCATTGTGACAACAATGTGAGTACTGCTGAAGGTCTGGGACATGAGAGGGAACAATGCCTGTGGGTGATATCTGTTTTACCATGTAAAGGTCAGATTGACTGGAACTGTCAAGCTGCTCAGCCTCTTCTGCTGTGTGTTCACCTCATATGAACAGCTGAGTTATGTACACTGCTTGATCCAATTCATCTCTGGAAGAATCTGAATATCTAATAATTGCCGCACCAGTGATGTCAAGTGGTTTCTTGCTGACGTCCCAAGGGGTTCCCCATTACACTCTATCTTCCCTGGGGAGAAATGACTGGAGGTAGGAGCATGATGGCAAAATGGTCAAAAACACATTTCAGACATTTCCAGCATCCACCTCCAAACCAACCTGCAAGTGATTGGGAAAAGTCCCTCTCATTTGCTTTCCTTTAATCTGGACTTAAACGTTGGGAGTAACATTTCAAAGGTGGCAGCTTATACAATATTTGGCAACAGTAAGTAGTGAGGAGGATTGTAAACAAAGTGCAGGACACTGATGAAGTGAGCAGACAGAAGGCAGCTGCAATCTTATGTTGTTAAGTGTGAAGTGTTGCACTTTGGGAGAAACACTGTGGAGAGGAAGCATAATCTAAATGGAGCAATTTATAATGGTATGTGCAGGCAGAAGAACATGGCAGATTGTCTAAGATTGAGGTGAGGAGTTTCGGTAAGTAGTAAGTGATTTAGAAGCGATTTGAGGTAAGGTTTTTACCCAGCGGGTGGTGGAAATATGGAACGCGCTGCATGACAGGATAGTGAAAGCATGTAGTCTTGCAATATTTAAGAAGCATCTCGCCGAGTACTTAAATACCAGGACATAGTAAGCTATGGACCAAGCACAGGTAAATGGGATTAGTATAGTTTGGTGTTTGTTGGTCAGCAAAGACATGATGGGGCAAAGGTCCCGTTTCCGTGCTATGCTGTTTGACTCTATGTATGACTCTATAATCTGTGGAACATATTTACATCTGCTTAAAGGTGGCAAGACAAGATGATAAGGTGATTAAGACAGTATGATATTGAACTATAAATTGGGAACTAAATACAAAAGGAATGAGTTAATGCATTATGGACAGTGGTTAGGCTCAGCGAGAGTGATATATGCAATTCTGGGTATCACACTTTGGGAAAGATGTCAAGACTTTGCAGCAGTTACAGATGCTTACCTGGATGATAACAGTGACAAGGAACTTCAGTTATATGGAATGCAACATTCCCTCTTATTTCTTTTTCTTTTGTGTGAACCTCTGAGGTCTGCGCATGGCAGTGACTTCTGGAAGTGGAAGTCAATGCTGCATTCCATGTTGGCATGCTGATCACTTGCACAGAATATCAGAATAGCTGTGCATATGTGTGCAACTGCGTCGATTAGACGGAACATGGGTGGAGTGTGATTGTTCTTAGAGTAGAGAAGGTTGAGGAGAGTTTTCATAATGGTCTTCACAATTTATGCAGAGTTTAAATGGAGTTGATAAGGAGAAACTGTCTAGTTCTGCAAAGATACTGATGACCAGAGGTCATAGACTTAACAAGAGAACTAGAGAGCAAGGAAAAATGATTATGATTTAGAGTACACTCCCTGAAAAAGAGTTGTTGTGACACACCTCTGGAGCAGGTGGGACTTGAACTCCAGCCTCTTGACCCAGAGATAGGGACTATGCACTCTTGAGGAGACTAACTGCAGGGTTTTTGGAAACATCTGGGTAGTGGGATTAAATTTATTTTATAGATCCAGCTCTGACACAGGAGGGTGCATAGTCTCTTTCATTTCAGAGTCACTCTATGTCATCTTAACAATCACTACATTTTTTATATCATTCTTCTTGTCATCAGAAACCATAGCTACACTGAGGTCAACCAATGGTATATGCTCCTGAAGCACAATCCTGTAAACATAATGGGGAATAGTCCATGTGTCAGCTCATTACTGATTCATTGCAGAGAATGACACATACAATAGCAGTCAATCACTTCACTGTTACAATACCAGTGATGAAGCAACCAGTTTGAAAAGTGCTTTCAGTTTCAGCCATAATAACGACATAATCAATTTGTTATGTGAACTGCTTTGGGAGATTGCCAAGGGGACACTTTCATTTATTCGGTATTTGCAAAGAAAGCATTAAACGCATTGAAGATCACTGTTCTGACTTCATGACAAGTAACAGAATAACAGAACATGAAGATCACTGTTCTGATTTCATGACAAGTAACAGAATAACAGAACATGACAAATAATTAAGTGCACCTCCTTGCCTTTTTGATGTAGCCGTAAATGCTTCACTTTTAATTCTATCTTCTCTAAGCTACCAGAAGTTTACAGAAATGGTAACATATATTATTCCTGGAAAGCAAATCAAGTGGAGGTCCATTAAAAATGTTTTTATCCATCAGATAAATCAGTATATTAATAATTAGATGAATGTTTAATCCAGTTGTTTCCAATTTGTATCTCCCACTTATTATTAACAAATTGTTCTCTTTAAAAATTGAGCAAAACAGTTCTTCTAATAATATGATGCTTCATTACATTTATGTTTTAAAAAGATATTAATAGAGGTGCATTAATTTACTCCAGTACATAATATACTTGCTTTTAAACTTGCTGTTAATTAGGACCCGGAAGAAGTCACTGATCAATGTTATTCTCATCATAAAAATCATCAGGGACATACCAAGAAAGAGCTTTAATTGTTGAAGGAGTAAATGACTGAGGGGGAGGGGTAAAAATCCAAAATGCTCAATGTTAATATAAAGGACAAATCATTCAGAATCAGGAAAAAGAATTTTCTTTTTTGTTTCTATCTTTCATTCCAGCAATCCTTGTGAGAAATCTATTATAATGCTAGATGTGATATCCAAAGACAGAAATAATCAGCTTGTTTAGGTGAGAGGGTCACTAAAGCACAACTGCTTCACCAACAACAGCATAACACAGGCATTACAATTTTATCAAGAGCCTCTTAGCAGAAACAGGAAAAAATTTCCTTCTGATGAAAAAGCTGCCTCTATCCCAGAGGCACTGGCTATCTAATGTGCCTTGGTGAAACAGCCACCTTCCCTGTATTAGCTCAGAGAGTACAGCACACGTCAGCTGGATCTAAAATAACAGCCAGGCTCAAAGCTCACTTCACCTAAGTACAGTGGTCTAACTGAAGGCTATTAAACATTCACTAAATTTGACCTTTCCCTGCATGAAATAAAGTTGAGATCTGATGTTGTCTATCGTTTAAGTGCATGAGTGTAAGTACAACCATTTACTATTTCATCAGCGGAACTGGGAGGAATCTTTAATGATAATCCGTATGTCAACATACACACAATTTACTTCAAAAGCCAGTATTTAAGGCCTGAGGGAAGCTGAATACCATCTAGACCAGCAGTATGAAGACTAGTCAATTTTAAATTTGTGGATTCTTCTGCATTCTGCAGGTGTGCTTTAAGCCATTCTGGTCACTAATCAGTTCTTGGGGGCTCCCGTTTCTTTAAAGGAGGGAAGCCTGTGTCCAAAAGCTGCCTGCCACTTGGAGAACGATCAGCCCTTGTTGTCAGGATGACTGATCATGGGATCCCTAATTAGGAGTCCACCCCTCTCCCCTTTACCACCAGCAAGACCAGAGGAAAGTCAGGGTGGATCATTGGGGGGAGGTCACCTGACAAGTTTCACCATGCAGCAAATGGCCTGCTAAACTCTGATAAAATACAATTCTCATAGAAAAGCAAGTTGAGCCCCACCTACCCCGTGCCCACTTTCCCTCATGGACCACCCCTAGCTCCCAGCCTATCCTAGACAGCTGGTTAAAATCCAGCTGCACACTCTTTTTCCAGCCTAAATCTCCCAGGGAACAAGGATCTGGAAGGATCATTCACCAACATTCAAGGCTTTCTGAAGGATCTTGTAACAGGGTCCCTTTGAACCCACAAGAACATTGTGTCTTCTGGCTGTGACTGTGTCTCTTGCTGAGCAGATCCTGTGGGAAATTGCAACAGCTCTCCCTGCCGAGTTAAATTGGCAGTCAACCTCTACACCAAATCTCCACATTGAAAGAATGATCTGCTGGTGGTCAAGCTTCTCACTTGTCTAAAATGGGAGTGTGCAGGATCAGCATGGGATAGTGGTGGCTCAGGGATAATGGTAGTTTGTATCAGTCCAACAGAGTTCAAATCACTCCTTCTATATTGAAGTCACCCTCTTCTTCACCACGTAAATCTGCCAATTAAGATTTGGACATATTGTCTTTCCACTAAAGGTTGTTTGCATGCAATGATGTGATTTCCTGGCTCCATGTTTTCTTAACTATATATATATATGGTGACTTTATAATTATGTCATCTGTATTGTTATGATTTCTGAAACTAATATAAGCATTTTAGATGTTGGAAAAGTAGAAGTAGTTTGTCCTGATGTGACCACTTGTTATTTGTTTGTAAAACCTACCAAGTTCCTGTACTTCACATTAACCTTCCTCTCATCCTCCACACAGACAGCTGCAAACACATTGGGAACAAATGAATACTGACAAATAAACTTGCTTCTTGGAATGAATCGTTATAGCTTCTGGCCCTATGCCTCCTGTCCTGAGCTCTCATTTGGAAAACTGCTGAGAGGTACAACTGGCTCTTTCTGTTGAACGCAAATTGCTACATACCAAAATCCACAAGTTTGATGCCTCCCTCTGTTGTTAATAGGATGTTGTTGCCCTTGATGTCTCGATGAATTGTCTTGTTGTTGTGCAAATGTTTCAAACCCTAAGGAAGATGCAATGGTGATGGTTATATTATTCTTGAACCAAGAAAAACCTAATGAACATAATGAACTGAGCTATTCTTAATTGTAGCATGCCATCTCTTATGTCATTCACATTGAGTCATAGATTAATAGAGATGTACAGCACAGAAACAGACCCTTCGGTCCAACTCATCCATGCCAATCAGATATCCTAAATTAATCTAGTCCCATTTACCAGCATTGGCACACATCACTCTAAACCCTTCCTATTCATATACCCATCCAGATTCCTTTTAAATGTTGTAATTGTACCAGCCTCCACCACTTCCTCTGGCAGCTCATTCCATACACTCACCACCCTCTGCATGAAAAAGTTGCCTTTTAGACTCCTTTTACATCTCTCCCCTCTGACCTTAAACCTATGCCTTCTAGTTTGGACTGTGACTGTCATATGTGACAATAATTGGGGCTGAAAATCTGTGAAACACTTTAGTTTGAACTGACAGAATCTAAAGGCTAAAACAGAAATATAAATCTTACCATGAGGGCTTCATGCAGGATGTAGGCAATAATCAGTTCGCTCATTCTCTCACCTCGTTTTAACAACCCTTTGGCAAGATCGGTCACAGATCCTCCGTTGCACAACTGAAAGAACAAAAAATGATTGGTAATGACAATATTAACTTCAGCTTGCTTTTATATAGTGCCTTGAATAGGGAATAACCTACCAAAGTCCTTCACAAAGGGGTAAGAGATATGGAAGCTGAACCAAAGAAAGTAATATTCAGAAAACTAATGAAAGATCGTTATTAATGATGGCTTAAATGTATATAACCTTTTACTGCAGTAAAACTTTCCAAAGTGCTTCAACGCAAATAAAATTTAATACCCAGCTTCATAAGGAACTAGACTTAACAACTTAAGACAGTTGATGCCAAGGTTAGGCAATGAGGAAATATGGGGATAGAGAGTCTATAAGGTTTAGGGAGGGAATTCCAGAGCTTCGGGGCCAGGAAGCTGAAGGTGCAACTGCCAATGTTGCAGAGATAGAAGTCAAGAGCCTTAGAGAAGGCAGTATATGCAATAGAGGTGAATACTAGATATGTTGGATAGTTGTTGGGCTAGTGAAGTTCATAGATGGAGGGAGGATTGAAACCATGAGAGGATTTGAAATAAGGATGGGATTCTTTTCAAAAGGAGGATATCAATGAAGGAAAAGGTAAAAAGGTGGTTTAGTTGGCTGAAGGCACAGTTAACAATGCTGGAGTGAAAGAAAATGAAAAAATAAAATCTTATATTTATAACACACCAGAAGTCTCAATGTGCTTTGTAGCCAATTAAATACTTTTGGAAGTGCAGCCATTGTTTCGATGTAGGAAATACAGCAGCTAATTTGCACACAGCAAACCCACAGAAACATCAGTGTGATAATGACCAGATGATCTGCCTTTGTAACAAAAGCAGAAAGTGCTAGAGAAACGCAGCAGGTCTGGCAGCCTCCGTGGAGAGAGAAACCGAATTAACATTTTAAGTCCAATGACCGTTCTTCGACTCTTCCGTTTTGTTTCAGATTTCCAGCATTCGCAGCTCTTTGGTTTATATTAGTTAGTTTTTGTGATTGTGATTAAGGGTTAAATATTCTTCATGATATCACTTTCCTGCACTTCAGCGAGATGGGACACAGGATCTTTTACACCCAGAAGACACGTTGTTCAATGACAGTGCATCCAGCAGTCCAGCACACCCTGTGTACTACGCTGGAGTGTCAGCTTAGGGTAGGACGGATGTGTAAGTCATCAGAACAAAACATTTGAATGGCAGAGTGGTGTTTTAGGGTGATGCTGAGTAATTGGAACAGGTCCTGGTGAGTTCTCTCACTGGATCTTATCAAACTTGCCTCATTGATTAAGTACCCTGCCCCTGTGGCATGACTCCCAGCTGATTCTCACCTTATTCAATCACTTGTTACTGCTGGGATATCCTGGAATGGAGCAGTATCCCATCATCTCTAAGTGGCAGTTGGAGTAAACAAGGTTTGGAAGGGAAGCAGAGGCAAGTATTCAAGTGGGGACAAGCTCAGTGCAGTGAGGAAACTCAAGGTGCGGGGGCAAATGTGGTACAGCTTTGGAGGGCATAGTAGGCTATGGGAAGTATGGATTATTGGCTGTAACCACCACTGTTGGTCTGCACAGGTGTAAGGTACAGGACCCAGGTGGAAATAAATCACATGTAATTTCAGGAGAAAGCTTAAGGAGAAAAGCTGGAGGCAAATTTAAACATGGTGGGTCTCCACATAGAAGATTTGGTGGAAATGGTCTGTCAGGGTAGTGTGAGGTGAAAGTGGCCATGGAGGTCTTGGAGAGTTGTGCCTGCCAACTAATGGAGCCTGGTGCTAACATTGTCCTAGCGGTCGGTAGGTACTAACTGCAACTGCAAAATGGTTGGGACAATGCCCAGGCTGTGTGGAGTCAGTGTCAGTTTGACAGGCAAAAGAACAGGATCCATGTCCACTGTACATTAGAACATTGAAAAGTCAAAAACATGAAGCATGCACTTGCAAACTGTAGCTACATATAATTCACAATCATTTGCAATAGGCAGAGTGAATGTGCTTAGGATTCAAATGCTGGTCAAAGGTGATTTGCCACCATGCCATTGGTCCAAATTGAATATCGAACTCTCAATGATTCAGATGTTAGTGGCAATGACTTATAAAGAGGTGAATGCAGACCAAAGGCAAGCCGTAGCCTATAAACTTCCAAGGGTGCTGTGGGAGGCAGAAACAATTGCTTCACCATATGTCATGTAAGAATTACAATAGACTGTACTGAATGTGCAGATATATTTCATTATTGATGTGGATCTGGGTTGGTAATGGGTCAGAATGTAACATTCTTGATGTAAGATAAAGTCACCATAGTCTTACCATAGCACAGGGCTGTTCTCTCATTAGAGAGAGATGAATGGCAGTGGTTTAACCTGAGGGTCACCATGCCTCAGGCAAGGGGAGAGGTTGCGAAGGTGGAACCTTCATGGTAACCTCAAACTGGCACAGAAATTGAATCCACACTGTTGGCATCACTCTGCATTATGAAGTAGCTGTCCACTCAACTGATTTAACCAACCTCTGGCGTAATGTGCTGGCCACTAAGCTGGTGATGCACTTCACCAAATAGGTACTCATGCTGAGGCTGAAGCTAAATGAATAATAGGGACATGGCCCTCGTTATTAGAATACTGAAGGCATCACTGTGTGGAGGAGAGATTGCAGACTTCATCTGCAGCGTACGACACCACTGACTGTTCACAGAGCTAAGAACCTACGTTGTGCCTTATGTTCCCAACATAGCTCTTTGCCAGGACAAATCAAGCACATAGCCAACAGTGGGAGGCTGGTTACTGTTGCTGTTCTCCTGAGAAGGTGAAGGTGGATTCAGGAGGACCAGGGCCCACAGCAAGCTTAGGAACTGCAGCAGGCCATCACTGTCGCCCAGCTCAGTCAGAGTTCGCAGACACTGGGACCCTCAGGAGGCATCATGTCCACAGAATGTCCAGGCATCTTGGCCCGAGCTCCATTTTCTGGGGATGAGCGAGGTGCAGTGTTCGTTCTGTACGTCCTGGGACATCAAAACAGCACTGTGCCAGATGTGAGAGCAGGACCTAAGGGCTGCAGGAAAGGGGAGGGGACCTCCTGTGGCTGTGAAAGTGAATCTCCATGTGGCTGACTCCTTCTAGAGAGGGATGGGTGCCCTGACTGGGATGTCTCGGTGGTGCATCAAGGAATGCATCAGGACAATAACCAATGCCATCTGTGCAAGATCACTCCAGCTCATTTAGTGCCCTCATGAAGAAGCCAGTTCTGCAGCCCAGGCAGCCCAAGGTATAGCTGGCAGCTAAGCTATACTGCACACACACGTGGCACTGAGACGGCTGGATAAAAATGCTATGGAATTGATTGATAGAAAGGGGTTACATTCCATGAATGTGCAGCTGATCTGTGATCTACAACTTTCTGGAGGTGTGTGCTCACTACCCTGCCAGCTGCCATGACTCCTTCATCCTGGAGTACACTCAGGTACCTGCTGTGTTTGAGGGTCCATGTGCCTTACAATGCTGGTTACTGGGGACAAGGTTAACCACTATGAGCATGGCTCATGACACCATTATACAATCCCCTGCATGATGTGGAGTGGCAGATATAACGACTGCCCCCACCCCAGCCCCACCATGGTTTGACCAAGACTGCAGTAGGGCAAACAATGGGGCTGTGAGGTACAGTTCTGTTGTTTCGAGCAGAATGAGGAAGCCCTCTGGTAGAGTTTGGACATAGACTGCTGCATCATCCTCGCGCGCTGTCTTCTGCACTATTGGAGGAGGCAACAAAGCAATACACTGGAATGGGGGGAACAGGAGCAGTCTTCTCAGGAGGAAGATGAGGATAATGGGGAGCAAGAAGGTCTCTTTGTAAATGACAGAACTCAGCTGCATTGAGCACCACAAGCCAGACAGGGCCTGAAAGGTGCCTGGTTCCAGTGAGTGAGAGCTGGGTGCAGCGGATCATTATGGATTGTAGAATAATCATGGGTCATCATGTCAGCATTTTTGGGGGTGAACTTCAGCCTCTGTTTGTTTTGTTTGTGTTTGCTTTTGCTTTTACTGAAAACCTAGTCTTTGGAATTGCCCAATAGCTTACCTGTATGCAATGTTCCCCTACTGGGCAATGACAGGATGCAGGTCTACAGGGGGCATTGGGTACAGAGTAGTGATGATGTACAGAGTGTGTTTAGATTGGATGTATAAGGGAAGGTAAAATGTGTGACCCGATAGGCTATTATTCTTATGTGTAGTTCAAGGGTCATTAGGGTCAATATAATGAGGGCAGTTGTACTTTTAAAGAGCAGAAAAACAAACTTGCTTTTGAAAAATTTGAAAGCTTGAAAAACAAATTTGGAAAACAAAACTTCAATTTTTGCCATGATCGGGTGTCTCCATACCAGCAAAATTCTGCAAGAAGTCACAAATCCAAGTTCCACCCCTGAACTCAGCATTTCTAGTTTTCTGTTCTGAGGAAGGGTCTAGTATTTAGATGAGAGGAGAGAAGGCATGGAACTAAACTTGTGGAATACAACAAACTACATGGAAATTATGCTGTGCAGAACAAATGAAGAAGTTGCAAACAGATATAGATAGGTTGATAGGTTGACTGAGCAAAAATTTGGCAAATGGAGTAAATTTGGAAAAATGTGAAGTTCTTCACTTCGGCAAGATGAATAAAAAGGCAGATTATCACTTAAACAGAGAATAATTGCAGGATTCCAAGGTGCAGAGGGATTTAGGTATTCTGATGCACAAGCCTCAAAAAAATCATGCGCAGGTACAGCAGGAAATCAAGAAGGCTAATATGATACTATACTTGATGACAAGAAGAATTGAGCATAAATGTTATGCTTCAATTTTGCAGGGCTTTGGTGAGACCACATCTTAAATACTGAAGAGATAGTAAGAACTGCTGATGCTGGAGTCT